TGGCCCCCCGTGGGAATCAAACCCACAACCCTGGCGTACCTGATTACTTCTCATCAGTGCTTGACTTGGACTGAAATTAGGTTCCAGTACTCATTTTGGGTGCTGGTACTGTTTATATTTAGGTGCAGGAGCTCCACAACACTGAGCTAATATTCTATAAGAGGAACAGGAGCTCAAGCAGTAGAACATTTGAGGTGCCGGTACTCAGCAGCTCCGGTGAGCTTGTGCCCAAGTCAAGCGCTGCTTCTTATCCCTTGCGCAAATAGCTTACAGTTGTGTCTGTCCTGAGCTCACTGGCGCTGGAAACTGAGGGCCCAGAATATTTTATACAATGTTGCAAGTTCACTAGCACAAGCTTAGGCCGGACCCAAGTTAATAGTTGATACAATGTTTCAAGTTCGTTGCAGACAGGCCATGTGTAGCCAATGTGATTTATAGGATATTTATTTTTATCAGGATATTTTCTACCTACAGGCAGCAATGTTTTTATTTGTTGGCTTTACCGTTACGAAAAAAAAGATTGCAGTCAGAGTGCAGTATAACTGCAGTTTGCTGCAAATACTGCAGTAAGTTTACTGCAGTAAGTTTGCAGTGTAACTGCAGTTAGAGTGCAGTATAACTGCAGTTATTCTGCAATTACTGCATCCAAAATACCACAGTCGACTGCAGTTACTGAACTTTTACTGCAGTTTCAAAACTGCAATCTTTTTTTGTAAAGGTATGTAGGCTATTTTTACATAGTTGGCAATAGAAGTTACTTTTTAGGTTTGTATCATTTTCATTTAGATTTGGATATAATTTTTATTAACCACATGAAAATGATTTTGAGATATGAAGACATTACTATAAATATAATAAAACTGTTTCACAAAAATGTGCATATGAAAACCATAACCTGGCACGCATATCGGTAGAAATGGTAAGATAAATTGGCATTCCAAATAAGAAAGGTTGCTGACTCCTCGTGTAGCCTATTACCGGCAACTTCAGGAGAGTATCTGAGAAAGCCAGCAGGAGCGGGAGGAGAATAGTTTGTTCAGGTTACGTTTTTCTTCTGGTTATATTGATCTCTGGCGCCCTCTTGAGGTATTTGTCTTATTTCATCAAACCGTAAGCTTAAAGCATCAGACAAGCTCAAGCATATAGTTGATTTTATTAAAACACATAGGGTGTGTCTATACATGGAAAAATACCCGTTTTAAAAATGTCAACCAATCGACTGGTCGAAAAAACGGACGACTTTCTGTTGACAAATATTTTTTGTTGTTGTCGGGGACAGCCCTAATTGTCTGTATTTCGAGATGACCTCTAAAGCTAAAAACAGACTATGTCGATGAACGGTTAAAAGCATCGGGTAGCATATTGAATCGCTACATGTTGAATCAGCACCGTTCGTCGACATCCAGCAGGCCAACGTCCATTATGGTGTGTCCTGTTCTTTAAAGGTCCAATGCAGCCGTTTTAATCTCAATATCAAATCATTTCTGGGTAACAATTAAGTACCTTACTGTGATTCTTTTTGACCATTTTAATTGAAAACAAACAAAAATAGCTTTTTAGCAAAGATCAATTTCTCAAGCAAGGATTTTGATAGGACTGTCTGGGAGTGGTCTGAGTGGGGAGGAGAAAACAGAACATTTGCTGTTATTAGCAGAGAGGTTTGGAACACTTTCTTATTGGTATATTAACACATTTACCGCCTGGTGATGTCACCAGGCAGGCCAAAACTCCATCCCACCAAAACAGGCAGAAATTACAGGCGGTCTTTTCAAACAGCTCTTACACTAAAAGGGCATTATCCTCATGATCACAATTTCACAGTATTATTCCAACCTCATAGTGTGGAAATATATATAAAACACACATTTTGACTGCACTGGACCTTTAAAAGAGGATCCCCTTCACCTATGTCAAACATGTTACGCTGTTCCAAAACCAAACTATTACAAATCTTACTGTGAAAACACAATGTGTATGGTATATTAGATAGACAACTCACGTAATACTGTAGCTGGGTTGTGTCTGGACTGTGAAGACATATACCCTGAATCCCTATCCATTGCTTACACCTATCCACTCTGCTCAGATCTACACAAGTGCATAGGGGCTAGGGGGTGATTTGGGATTCAGGTCCCCCCGCCATATGGAACCCTTTTCCCTGAATAGTGCACTACTTTTGACCAAAGCCCATAGGGACGGACGCAGAATGCAGAATGCAGACAGGGAGAGGGCGTGTGAAGGGAAGGCTATGGCTGTCTTTACAGCTCCTGTAAGACCCAGGCACAGTCACAGCCTGCAGCTGTTAGCTAGTGTCCATGCATCATGATTAGAGCGATGCGTTTCACTGCGATGATGAGTCAGCGATGATGACGAGATCCACATTGGAACATTAAAAGCGCTCCCCCCCTCAGTTTCTCCCTGCCCTTCTCTCTTCCTCCCCCTCTCTCTCTCCCACTTTTCCTCAGAGACAACACCATCGCCATCTGAGACTGGGAGGCTGCATGTGTTTGTGTGCCGTATCCTCCCCGACACACACCTCGCGGTCTGATCATCAGCTGCCTCACCTGAACACAGGCACAGCAGCAAACCTTACAGATGTGCTACTCTGAGGGTGGTGTGATGTTAGGGATGCGTCCGAAATGGCACCCTATTCCCTATATAGTGCACTACATCACTGATCAGTGATTTTGATGTGTTACAGACTTAATTTAAAATGTATTGAATCAAGATATTTTTGTCACTGGCCTACACACAATGCCCCATAATGTCAAAGTGGAATTATATTTTTCCAAATCTTTCCAAATTAATTAAAAATGAAAAGCTGAAATGTCTTGAGTCAATAAGCATTCAACCCCTTTGTTATGGCAAGCCTAAATAAGTTCAGGAGTAAAACATTTGCCTAACAAGTCATATAAAAAGTTGCATGGACGCACTGCAATAATAGTGTTTAACATGATTTTTGAATGACTCTCTGCTTCAGAGTGCAAGCGGACCTTAGACTGGGGCGAAGATTTACGTTCCAACAGGACAATGACCCCAAGCATACAGCCAAAGCAACACTGGAATGGCTTCAGAACAAGAACGTGAAAGTCCTTGAGTGGCCCAACCAAAGCCCAGACTTGAATCCCATTGAAAATCTGTGGAAAGACTTGAAGATTGCTGTTCAATGCCGCTCCCCATCTAACTTAAGAGATCTTGAGAAAATCTGCACAGAAGAATGGGAGAAAATCCCCAAATCCAGATGTGCAGAGCTGAAACAGACATACCCAAAACGACTAAAAGCTGTAATCGCCACCAAAGGTGCATCTACAAAGTATTGACGCAGGGGTGTGAATACTTATGTAAATGAGATATTTCTGTATTTCATTTTCAAAAAGATTTCTAAAATAAAAATAAACATGTTTTCACTTTATCATTATGGGGTATTCTGTGTAGAGGCTGATATTGATTTTCATCCATTTTGAATTCAGGCTGTAACAACAAAATGTGGATTAAGTCAAGGAGTATGAATACTTTCTGAACGCACTGTATAACCTAACTCAAAATCACGCAAACAAAACTGAACACTGATGAAACACTATATTGGTCACAAAGACAACACACAAATGTATATTTAGGCACACTCACCATGACACTAAAGAGGCCAATTGGGTCCCTTTACTATTTTTTGACCAAATAAAGCCTGGGATTTAATGTAGAATGATGTGAAACCCGACGAAAAATCAACCATCACTTTCTACACTGAGAATCTCTCAATATAAACCAATTTGAGGGAACAGTGTGAAATAATGATGATTCACCGACAACCGGAAGTCTTGATGATCATGGATCGACGTCATCCGTCCAATACATTTCTGGGAAAGCTCACTGACGACTGAGATGTAAATCAAATCTCATCAAGCCTGTAACGTGGCCACGCCCAAGGCCTTGCTAAGTGGGGTTAATGGCAGACATTGTTTGCTGCTGGCCCTCCACCTGGTTGGCAGTGCGCTGTAATTGTCAGGTCTAAAGTGGTTGTGTATGTGTTTGCGTCAACCGACTTCCGCACCCAAACTGCACCTTCCCGGCCCCTGCTGACACAGAGCCATGTGTCTAACTAGTAACTGTTCCTATCTGGAGCCATTTTAGGCCTTTCCGGAGACGTCCTTCCTGTCTCCTGTAACAGTAATATAGCAGATATGGCCACCCTGGATCGACAGTTCCCTCAAGGCTTTCGTCCTCACCCATCACCGCCAAGCAGAACAGGGAGTCAGAGAGTGAAGCTGTGTTTGCTGACAGGAGCCAACATGGTGGATGGAGATGGAGTGGCTAGGTTTTTTTAGGTGGCAAAGAAGTGTGTGTGTGTGTGTGTGTGTGTGTGTGTGTGTGTGTGTGTGTGTGTGTGTGCGTGCGTCACAAGACATACAGGTGATGTTTCTAACGCAGGTGAAAAGGGAAACTTGACATTAACGTAAAGTGGATGAAAAACAACATAGATGCAAAACAAAAACTAGGATCTAATGCAACACAAGACAACAAAACTATTATTTGCAAATGTGAGAGCTCTGAATAAGTGCTTCACTGGGCCATTGTGTGACACGGCCAATAAAATACTAGACATATACTTGTTCAAAACGTACGGGAGTCCCGTGAAATAATAGCCAACACATTCTGACACGTGTGGCAGACATTGAAATATACCACAGTAGCAGACTAGACTAGACCATGAATGAGTTTCCCTGTTGGGACAATAAAGTTTGAATTGAAGGATGTGGAGATTGGGCTCAGCCATAGAGTTGGATAGATGGCGCACTTGGCCCAAAGCCTGTTTTGGCATAGGCAGTGCCATTGAGGGCTTTTGCCATTTTTAAGTAGTCAACTCTTCAGCACTCATAGAAGTAAAATAAGAAATTGACTACTTTACTTGAAATTATAGGAGATAAGCTCTCTAGTGTATCTGTATGGACTATGGTCATCAAGCACTTATTTAGAGCTCTGGGACTGGATGAAAGAAAGCTTTAAAATGAGCAAACCTGATTGGCTGGCGCTGCTGCTGCGTAGGGGACACTTGTGGCAGGAGTTGTTGCTGCAGAGATAGTAGCAGGCGTAGCACTGTACATCATGGGTACTTTTTCGGAAGGGGGGGGGGGGACCATGGAAGCAATGAACAGTTAGGCAGTGGAGGCAGTGTAGTAACCATGGCAACGGGTGTTGATTGTTTGGTTGTTGTTTTTGGGCATGATGCATATTACAGAGAGGGGCGAGCCATCGTTAGGTTAGCCCAGCAGAAGGCGTGCGCATCACAATGCAAAAGCGAGAGAAAGCATGGGAGAAAAGAAAGAGAAGAAAAAGCTGATTATAATCACAAGTAAGGAAATTTGGCCCGACAATCAGTTGTTCCCAGAGAGGACTGAGTGAGATATAATGAGTGGTATTATAAGATTGAGATTAACTAGAAAACAATTAAAGCCCCCTCAAGATCGAGAGCTTTTCTACCAATTGTGTTCACCTTCTTTCTTTTTTCTCTGGGAAACTGATTACATTTCCTAATCAGAACAGCAAAAACTTTTCAACAACCAATTCATTTCGAATTACTTTTTTAAATAATAGTAATACTGATAATGATAAGAATAACACTTCACATTTCATAATTAGGGTATAAGACAGTAAGTAGCTAAGTAACAAAATATATTAAATCCTAATTGAGAATAATCTCTTACAGGTGAGCTCAAATTGACGTGTAGGACTTTGCATCACTTTGTGGAGCATTTCAGTAAAAAACAGTCATGCACTCTAGCCCAATGTTCTACAACAGTGCCTCTCACTGTGTCACAACATCCAGGACCTTTGTGTCACCTGTAAGCGCTGACATCTCCCGGCCTATGGCCTGCTCCCGCTCTCCCCCCAATTTAAAGAGGCTCCATGGTGAAGTTTCCCCTAGGTACAGATCTAGGATCAGCTTCTCCTCCCCCAATCCTAACCTTAAACATTAGTGGGGAAAATTCAAAACTGACCCAAGATCAGAGTCTAGGGGCAACTTCACCCTATACCTTTAAAAGCATATGTGAGAGAATGAAAAAGGGAAAGGAAGGAACCTACCAAGGCTGCTAGCAGGAGTCATGCACAAGACTGACCCTGTGTGATCATGCAGTGGAGGAGAGTGAACAGAGGGTTAATAAGGGGAGGAGAAAAACATGTTAAGAGAGAAGAGAGACAGATTTTGGTGGTTGCCTGGTCCCAAATCGGTTTGTGCTGTATGGCATGACATTGACCATAGGAGTCGGCAAGAAAGCACAAACAGATCTGGGACCAGGCTACAGATTTTGGAAGCAAGCTATATAAACAACATGCCTTTAAACAAATTTCACAAGCCTGCAATTGGTATGATTGCACTGTGCAGTTTGGTTCCACTTGTAGTCTTATGCCATACACTATGTCTGGTCTGGGGCTAAACATTCTCAGTCAGAGCTCAATTTGATATACAGTACAATAAAGCATGCAAAAATATTAACTGTTCTGGAGGGGGTGGGAAGGTAAGGTCACACATACTACAAATGAGCCTTTTTCGGTGTCAGAGGAGGTTTATTAGCCTCAGATCGGTGTGTCCTATCTTGCCAACTCCTATGATCTCTGTCACAGCAGACACATGGCGTGACAATGGCAGTAGGAGCTGGCAAGACAGCACACACATATCTGGGATCAGGCTAGATAAGGTTAAGGGCTGGATGCTTGGACCATGCAGTGAGAACGAATCAGACCTGGGTTCAAATAGAATGTCTTCTTTCAAATTACTTTATGCGTTGGATTGGGCCTGTCTGGAGTGCCAGATGGACAGGGTTGCACTTATGGTTCCGAAAGTGCTAGGCGAGCTCAATAAAGCACAGTTTGAGTATTCGAAGGGAAAATTATATTAATGGAACCTAGGTCTGGTGTGAACACACCATTCTGAACAAGCTTCCTACACTGGGAAATAAAGTGGAAGGAGAGGAAGGGTGTAGAGGCCATGGAGGATGATAACACTAAAGAAGGGAGTAGGTAGGGAGGGATAGGGGGTTAGGGAAGGTAGTCTCATCCACATTTATCTACTTCCCCAGAGTCAGATGAACTCGTGGATACCATTTGTATGTCTCTGCGTCCAGTATGAAGGAAGTTAGAAGTTGTTTTGCGAGCCAATGTTAACTAGCATTAGCGCAAGATAAGCGCACAGACTGGAAGTCTGCCGTTTTATAAGTAGGCGTTAAAATGCCTGGTCTACTATATTCATACAGTAATATATCCTATCATCAGCCACAAAATAGTTTTACCGCTGTGATCAAAGGATATCCATGCCTTTACCTTGTCCTGGCACCTGGCTGCAATTACACATTTATATGATAGGCGAGCATACCGTTGCTGTGTCCCAAATGACACCCTATTCCCTATATAGTGCACTGCACTAGCTTTGAACAATGCCCATATCAACTTGATTTCCACTTGAGGAAAAGCGGTTGATCACTCCTGTTGGTTTAAAGAGAGACTGGCCTCAAACTTTAGGAGAAGATATGGGGGATATCCTATTTCCTCACTAGCTCACCTGGTGAAACCTTTTAAGGGTTTTATACTTGAACTTTGCACTTTGATGCTTTTATGGGGAAACGGAAAGTTAGGGAAGCTCTATCCAGCGTGTGTCTACATGCTACATGTCTGTGTATCTGTGTACAAGAGTGTGTACAAACGTGTGTGTGTGTACATAAATGTGTATAGGGGTGTGTGTGTGTGTGTGTCTACATGCTACATGTGTGTCTGTGTGCATGTGTATGAACATGTGCATCTGTGTGTGTGTGTGTTGCAGGGCAGGCGGGTGTACCCCCTACCTGTGGGAAAGCCACAGAAAGCTGTCTGCTGCTGCAGCTGTGCGTTGGCCAAGGCCTGCTGGTAGTGCAACATACTGGGGTGAAAGAGCGAGCTGGCCCCGTTGCTCTTCTCAAGTGCTGGTCTCTTTGGTAGGGGCTGCAGGCAACCGTGGGGGAACGCCTGTACGGGAGGGACGAGGAGACGTTAGATATGAGGCGGAGGCCTCAAAAATGACTACATTCACATGACTATTCTCGATTCTATAACACAAGAAATCACACTGCTGCTCTGGGTCTTTTGTGGCTACTAGCTACAAAACAGCACAAAGTTACGACAGAGTTACGACAAAAAAGTCACAATGGCAACTTAGGTTTAAATAACCACATGGGGACAATGAAGGAACTACACACGATATCTAGCAAGGCACTTATAAAATAATAATTTACAGCACAGTAACAAACACAAAGTGATACTTGGGAATTAACATTATCATTGTTGTTATACGATCAATCAATATAAATCATACTAAAAGAATAACTACAAGAATCATATTGGTGGATATTAATTGCATAATACAAATATTTGGGTGTTTAAAAAAGCAAAAAGCCAAATTAAAATTATTGTGAGTTGCTACAGTACATTAAAGAAGCTACATGCAAAGCAAAAGGTGAAAGGTCAAAGTACCAGTTCTACAGTTGCCTCGAGGGGTCGCTTCATTGCTTTGGCAGTCGACTGAGTCTTTAAATAGCAGGCAGCGAGCACATGATGTCAGTGGGCCAATGGGAGTCAAGCGTATTAACATACAGGTAACAGCAAGCAGAGGTGCGTCATGGGGGACAGCATTGCATTGTGGATAGGTGAGAAGGAAAAACAAAACAAAATAATCTGAATGCAGTATACCACGTACAAAACAATAGGCATGCACATAAACAAAAAATAGTTTGTTGTTGTTTGTTTAAAGAAACATATTGCTTAAGATCTGAATTAGTACGAAAGCAAAAAAACATCTACTATACCTACAGTTAAAAAGCTAAAGACATACAAAGATTTTCAAATGTACTTATGAAGTAAACAAACTATTTGCATAGCAGTTATTCGTTCTGTAAAGCTAGCTACTTCTTTACAAGTAAATCAGTTATCTAATCAATCAATGTATCAAAATATCTTGGGGTATTATTGATATAAACACAATTGACATTCAGTTGGGCCGAATCGTAACTTGAGATCTGTGCGCACAAGTCAACATTTCGCATAAATTTGACATTGTGATTTACGTGAACGTTTGAGTTATGTTCGCAGATCTAAAAAGGTAGGATTCGGCCTCTTCTGTATACACACTTGTACACTATCTGCTGTATGGAATATTGTTGTCTTTGTTGGTGCTTTGGTGTGACTGGCCACCATGACAGAATAGGCTGTGAGGGCAACATACATTTCTCACAGAAAAACACTAGTTCTTTGCTCTAGCCCTTACTATTGTGTTCAAAGAGCTGAAAGGACTGGATAGGTGAAAGCAATAGGAAACATATTAGAGGGCTAGGATGGAACCATCACTTAAAACTTATCCAGTCCTTTTAGATCTGAGAAAACAAAAACAAGACAAGGGGCTAAGGGAATGGGCTAATAGGGACTAGATGTTCTCAGCAAGTGAGAGTTTATGATCAATGGACAATGGAGGATCAAAAGTATTTTTGATTGGACAATGAAGGACCACAGGTCTTGTTGATTGGAATGATTAGCTTTTACAATAAAAGCAGTGCAATTTGGAACCAACGCACATTTTATGGAGACCATTATGACCAATGCTTTCATAGAAGATGCCCTATGGCAGACAATGGTAGACAGGAGAATGTTTTGGCAGACGGTCACATCCATTTCTGTCATGGGATAAAACATTCTGATTTAGGTGGTAAAAGCAAAACTATTGGTTTTCTTTCCATAACTGCACTAATACATGAGTGAACCCAAATGTGTAACTTGTTAGTGTGTGGTTAATGGGCAACTTTGGAGAGGTGAAAGTCAAAATGTGAATTGTAACAATATTAGTTATTCGAAAAGTTTTCTACATTTCCTCTTGGATTCTACAGCAAAAAAATTGATATTTGCTCAACGAAATAACATTCAAAGAAGATTTTTTTAAATGACGTTTGAAAAGAGTTTGTTAGCAAGCCTTCTGAATGAAACCAATCGATGACATTGCACAAAGGAAACAGCAAACATTGATGGGACAACCAAGGCACTTATGATTACTAGGCCATGCACAAGCCTTTGCTTTACGTGTAGGATAATACTACGTTTATTCGGTAACACTTTACATTAAGGTACCTTTTATAAAGGTACTAGGTATTTTATAAAGTGTTATCGTTCATTCCAAATGAATACACCTCAGATTCAGTGTTAGATTCAGACTGAAATGTTATGGTTAATGGAAGCGAATGGAGGAGGGGGTAGAAATATTCTGTTTTAATCAAGGGGGGGGGGGGGGGGGGGGGCAAGCAAAGATGACACCATTCAACTTGCGACACGATGGAGCAAAATGAAATCAAATTACACCTCAGTGTAACTGTACAGTTGAAGTCGGAAGTTTACATACACTTTGGTTGGAGTCATTAAAACTCGTTTTTCAACCACTCCACAAATTTCTTGTTAACAAACTATAGTTTTGACAAGTCGGTTAGGACATCTACTTTGTGCATGACAAGTAATTTTTCCAACAATTGTTTACAGACAGATAATTTCACTTATAATTCACTGAATCACAATTCCAGTGGGTCAGAAGTTGACATACACTAAGTTGACTGTGCCTTTAAACAGCTTGGAAAATTCCAGAAAATTATGTCATGGCTTTAGAAGCTTCTGATAGGCTAATTGACATCATTTGAGTCAATTGGAGGTGTACCTGTGGATGTATTTCAAGGCCTGCCTTCAAACTCAGTGCCTCTTTGCTTGACATCATGGGAAAATCAAAATAAATCAGCCAAGACCTCAGAAAAAAAATGTGAAGACCTCCACAAGTCTGGTTCATCCTTGGGAGCAATTTTCAAACGCCTGAAGGTACCACATTCATCTGTACAAACAATATACGCAAGTATAAACACCATGGGACCATGCAGCCGTCATACCGCTCAGGAAGGAGTCGTGTTCTGTCTCCTTGAGATGAACGTACTTTGGTGCGAAAAGTACAAATCAATCCCAGAATAACAGCAAAAGCACCTTGTGAAGATGCTGGAAGAAACAGGTACAAAAGTATCTATATCTACAGTAAAACGAGTCCTATATCGACATAACCCGAAAGGCCGCTCAGCAAGGAAGAAGCCACTGCTCCAAAACCGCCCAAAAAAGCCAGACTACGGTTTGCAACTGCACATGGGGACAAAGATCATACCTTTTGGAGAAATGTCCTCTGGTCTGATTAAACAAAAATATAACTGTTTGGCCATCATGACCATCGTTATGTTTGGAGGAAAAGGGGGGCAGCTTGCAAGCCGAAGAACACAATCCCAACCGTGAAGCACGGGGGTGGCAGCATCATGCTGTGGGGGTGCTTTGCTGCAGGAGGGACTGGTGCACTTCACAAAATAGATGGCATCATGAGGAAGGAAAATTATGTGGATATATTGAAGCAACATCTCAAGACATCAGTCAGGAAGTTAAAGCTTGGTCGCAAATGGGTCTTCCAAATAGACAATGACCTCAAGCAAAATGGCTTAAGGACAACAAATTCAAGATATTGGAGTGGCCATCACAAAGCCCTGACCTCAATCCTATAGAAAAGTTGTGGGCAGAACTGAAAAAGCATGTGTGAGCAAGGAGGCCTACAAACCTGACTCAGTTACACCAGCTCTGTCAGGAGGAATGGGCCAAAATTCACCCAACTTATTGTGGGAAGCTTGTGGAAGAATACCCGATTTGACCCAAGTAAAACAATTTAAAGGCAATGCTACCAAATACTAATTGAGTGTATGTAAACTTCTGACCCACTGGGAATGTGATGAAATAAATAAAAGCTGAAATAAATCATTCTCTCGACTATTATTCTGACATTTCACATTCTTAAAATGAAGTGGTGATCCTAACTGACCTAAAACAGGGAATTTTTACTAGGATTAAATGTCAGGAATTGTGAAAAACTGAGTTTAAATGTTTTTGGTTAAGGTGTATGTAGACTTCAACTGTATATCCTAAAACTCCACACATACCAGGATCTAACCACCTGTACCCGTTGTTTATAATCTTATGTACTATAAACTTGGTTCTGTCTGGGGCATATTTCCAGATGACCAAATCTTTGGGGAATGTAAGCTCATGATACATTTATTGTTGGTACAGTTGCGGGCACTAAAAAGTTACACAATGCATGAGCAACATGGCACTTGGGCTCCTTTAGATAGTTTGTCACAAAAAACTGTACTGTGGTCCAACTTTTCAGCGCCCGTAACTGTATCTAACTTAGGACAAGAGTCTGGTCGAGTTTCCGGAACCATATGCTTCCCCCTGCGGCAGGGATTTCGGTTCTTGCTCCTATCCTGTCATAACATTTATAAATATATGTAAGTTCTCCTTTAAAAAAAACTAAAACAGTATTTAACTTACTGTACCTTGTGCCAATACATTGTAATGGCTTTATAGTACATGGTACATTTTGAGAGAATTGCAGTGGGGAAATGCTCCCATAGAGCTGACTAAAAAGCTCTCTGTCCTCCGGTAAACCATTAACCCTGTCGCCCTAATATCTTATCACAGGTCACACCAGCTTAAGGAAACAGAGCGCAAGTTGTCATAAACTCATAATCATGTCTTCAACACTGGATGACGTGTGTTTTCCTATTGTTTTTGTCCTTTTCCTTTTAAACCTTAACTGTACTCGAGTCATATTTTCACCCAGTGTCAGTGGAGGTGCGGTTGGGGTTTTAGAGAGCAAGCAGCGATGGAGGAGCAAGCTGATGAGATGAAAAGCATGCCGGACGATGCCATGGAATCAGACAGCAGCGCGAGAGCAGTGACGGCACAATGTGAGTGGCAGCGAGCAAGACAGAGCCAAGTTCGCCCATTCAACAGCCACTGACTCGGACCAATGTGGACACGGAGTATAGAGTGGGGAGGGAGGGTCACAGCCAAGTGAAAGTACTACTGCCAAAACCTGCTCCTGCCTGCTCCTGCCTGCCTGCCGTCTCCTTGCCTGCCTGCCCGTCTCCTTGCCTGCCTGCCCGTCTCCTTGCCTGCCTCAGCGAAGGGTCCAATAATGAGGGAGTGGACCAATGACCAACCAGAGCCGTAATGTCAGTTTAGCCTCGCTTTGTCATCCGTCTCTTGATTCAATTTGTACTGATCTTCAGAGAGCTACACTTATCATTGAGAGGAGGGCGGGTCATTGTCTTTGTATGTATGATCAAGGGCATTGGAATAAAAGAGCTCCTAGCCTGAAGCTAATAATAGACAGCGTCCCAAATGGTACCCTATTCCCTATTTAGTGCACTACTTTTGAACAGAGGGCTCTGGTCAAAAGTAGTGCACTATGTAGGGAATAGGTTGCCATTTGGGACGCAGCCTTAGACTGTTGTGGTCGTGTTATACAGTCGCTTTACCTTTTCTAAAGCCTGAAAACTATAGAGCCTTACAATGTCCTGAGTATGGGTTCAGTGGTCACATTTCCGTGAATTGTGTAGAAGCGTCCATAATAGTATTCTAGGAAGGTGGTATATCAACTGTATGGAATAATAAAGCAGTGCTCCACATTTTATGTCCTTGTGTTCTTTTTTAGATGTGTAAAGTAGAATATTTAAGATTTAAGTGTGTACACTTTACCAAACTAGTCGTCTATAGTGGATTACATATTATAAACATTAGAAATAATATGCAAATATAGAGTGTATTTCCACATGATCTGACCCTTTGTCAGGTGTGCTGTCTAACATTGCTGGGGCTACAAAAGTCTTCTAATTTTCCCAAAAGTCCCAGGTTTTCCAGAAATCACGGTTCAAGGATTCCTGGATTCCCTCCTGATTTCAGGAATATTTCAACCAGGATTTCTGGAAAAACAGGGAATTTGGAAAAGTTAGCAGATTTTTACAACAGATTTGTGTGTGCTGTGAGGTACTACTAACTCTACACTAGAGGCTGTGAGGGCAGTGGAGGGTCTCACCATGGCAGCGGCTTGCACGGCCACAGCCGTCTGGTTGGCCTGGTGCTGCGCAGCCTTGATCTTGGCCTGCAGGTGGGCCGGAGGGTGGAAGTACTTGCACTTCTCCCTGGAGCAGCGTGACTTGATGTAGTCCATGCACACGGTCACCGTGTTGTCGCTGGTGTCAATCATAGGGCTGTCGCTGGGGTGAGCGAAGCGGCAGTCCGTCTCGCCACGCGCGCAGTTGCCCCGCTGGAACTCCCGGCACACCTGTGAAGGAGGGTGGGGTGCACACGGACAAACAGACATGCACACGTACATGGACAGACACACGCACAGTCACACACACACAACAATATTAGCTTACTTCTAACACTATTCTCAAGTATAATCCACATATCTCATACAACATAATAACACATACCAATAACATATCAACAACTTATCATTATGTTTATAACTATGGACTGAAAAATGTACAGACTGAGGTGTTTATCTATTCAGAGCCTGGGCGTAGTCAATCACAGGGGGCTTCACTCACAGCCTGGGATGTAAAACATAACACCGCACACTCACTAAGCGTGGGGAGAACACGTACGCATACGTGCACGCAAACACACACTGAAACAAACACACACGCAAAGACAGATACACACACAAAGCATGGAGAGAACACACACACACCCTCCACACACACGCGCAGAAGGCGGTAAACAGTCTCACTTAGTGTGGGAGTGTCTCCATTCCTCAGTGGAACACGGCCTCTCATTAGCAACCACATCGCTCTGTTGCTAAGTGACGGTACTTTGAGAAAAACACACAACACACCTACACTCCCAGGTCTGTCTGTGCTTACCATCCTTCCAAGGCTATTCTTTGTTTTCATTAACACAAAACGGTCTAGCTGCTTTGTTGTGGTATAAACAAAACCCCCATTGAAATAACCTCATCTATCTTAAGTAGATGTAATCAACGGTGAGGTATAGAATTCTGTTGGCCAGCGCACAAGTTCTTAAAGTTAGGTATTCTTTCAAAGTAAAGGTGTGAAAGGTGTGGAAAGGGAGTATGTAAAATATATGATTTATATCTCTGATTGGTGAGGTTAGGACTAGGTAAAATAAGATCTGTGATAAGGGGTAACTTTACCTCAACCTAGGTGTGTAAGGATGGTGTCATAAGAGAATAATTGTGATTGGTTAGTTTGTGATGTCCATGGAGAGGCTGGCTTTCCCAACTCCTCGTAATGCAAACTCTTGATTCCTCTTATTGTGACTGGTTACTTTGTGATGCCCAGAGGCCGGCTCTCCTAACTCCTGGTATTGTAATTGGTTAGTTTATGATGTCTCCTAACTGCTAATATACTACGATATACTACGACTTCTGGTATTCTTATTGGTTAGTGGTGGTGTACCTCCAGCTTGTCCGTGCGTAGCAGCTTCTGGTTGGAGGAGGAGCTCTGCATGGAGCAGGGAGGGCTGCCGGGGACAATGATGCTCTGGGTGCTGGGCTGGAGCATCTCAGTGGGCATCATGCCCATGCTGTGGGTCATGTGGGTCAGGTAGGGAGCGTAGCTCAGCCCTGGGTTGGAGCCCAGGCCCTGGCTAATAGGAAACGACTGCTACCGAGGAATAGGGGGCGAGGTGGGGGGAAGAAGGGAGACAGAGAGGGATAGAAATGTTAAAGAGGTGAGAGAGAGACAGCAGGGGGAGAGAGAGAGACAGCAGGGGGAGAGAGAGAGACAGCAGGGGGAGAGAGAGAGACAGCAGGGGGAGAGAGAAAGGCAGAGAGAGAAGGGGTTGGATGGAGGAAGAGAGAAAGGGAGAGACACCGAAAGGGGAGAGGTAGAGAGAGAGGTAGAGAGAGAGAGAAATAAACAATTGGACACATTGCACTTTACTTTCACCATCCCCGCTGAGCCAAGGAAGTCTGCTAGTCGCCTAGTAGTCCGTTACTCACCATGGTAGGCTGCATGGTCGTGCCAGGGAACATGAATGGCATCTGTTGAGCCAACATGGCTGCTGCTGTCTTCTGTTGTATGAGGTTGTTGCGGCCGTTGATCTCCAGCTGGGTCTTCAGGTGGGCCGGTGGGTGGAGGTATTTGCAGTTCTCTCGTGTGCATCGGCCCTGAAAAAATACAATTAAAAAAAATACATTAACACAAGTTAAAGACCCTGATCGGGTTGTCACTACAGAAATACAGAACCTGCCTAAAGGAAACCGAGAGGAGCGCAGCTAAACTAAAGCAGTAGATTATGAATAAACCCTAAAGACAGGTCAGAGGTTAGGTATATGCAGACAGTCTTCAATACATTGAATACTGAGGGGCAACATTGATATTCACAGCTGATGCTTTTGCAGCGACTAATGGGGGATCCTAATAAATATAAAATATCAAGTGATGGGGAGTTTGGTGCATATTGGCCTCAGCGGCCGGGCGGGGCTGTGCGTAGCTAGCTCAGAGGTTTGCGCTCGTTAGCTAGCTGCTTCAATAAAGGATCTTTAAAACCGTACAATGTGTGGCTTGGCTTCAACGTCTGTTAGCAAGATAACGACGCCACAGATAGAACAAGGAGCCAGATGTTTCACCGGATGTACAGTGAGGGAAAAAAGTATTTGATCCCCTGCTGATTTTGTACGTTTTCCCACTGACAAAGAAATGAGCAGTCTATAATTTTAATGGTAGGTTTATTTGAACAGTGAGAGACCACAAAAAAATCCAGAAAAACGCACGTCAAAAATATTGATTTGCATTTTAATGAGGGAAATAAGTATTTGACCCCCTCTCAATCAGAAAGATTTCTGGCTCCCAGGTGTCTTTTATACAGGTGAGCTGAGATTAGGAGCACACTCTTAAAGGGAGTGCTCCTAATCTCAGTTTGTTACCTGTATAAAAAACACCTGTCCACAGAAGCAATCAATCAATCAGATTCCAAACTCTCCACCATGGCCAAGACCAAAGAGCTCTCCAAGGATGTCAGGGACAAGATTGTAGACCTACACAAGGCTGGAATGGGCTACAAGACCATCGCCAAGCAGGTTGGTGAGAAGGTGACAACAGTTGGTGCGATTATTTGCAAATGGAAGAAACACAAAATAACTGTCAATCTCCCTCGGCCTGGGGCTCCATGCAAGATCTCACCTCGTGGAGTTGCAATGATCATGAGAACGGTGAGGAATCAGCCCAGAACTACACGGGAGGATCTTGTCAATGATCTCAAGGCAGCTGGGACCATAGTCACCAAGAAAACAATTGGTAACACACTACGCCGTGAAGGACTGAAATCCTGCAGCGCCCGCAAGGTCCCCCTGCTCAAGAAAGAACATATACATGCCCGTCTGAAGTTTGCCAATGAACATCTGAATGATTCAGAGGAGAACTGGGTGAAAGTGTTGTGGTCAGATGAGACCAAAATGGAGCTCTTTGGCATCAACTCAACTCGCCGTGTTTGGAGGAGGAGGAATGCTGCCTATGACCCCAAGAACACCATTCCCACCGTCAAACATGGAGATGGAAACGCTTTGGGTGTGTTTTTCTGCTAAGGGGACAGGACAACTTCACCGCATCAAAAGGACGATGGACGGGGCCATGTACTGTAAAATCTTGGGTGAGAACCTCCTTCCCTCAGCCAGGGCATTGAAAATGGGTCTTGGATGGGTATTCCAGCATGACAATGACCCAAAACACACGGCCAAGGCAACAAAGGAGTGGCTCAAGAAAAAGCACATTAAGGTCCTGGAGTGGCCTAGCCAGTCTCCAGACCTTAATCCCATAGAAAATCTGTGGAGGGAGCTGAAGGTTCGAGTTGCCAAACGTCAGCCTCGAAACCTTAATGACTTGGAGAAGATCTGCAAAGAGGACTCAGACAAAATCCCTCATGAGATGTGTGCAAACTTGGTGGCCAACTACAAGAAACGTCTGACCTCTGTGATTGCCAACAAGGGTTTTGCCACCAAGTACTAAGTCACGTTTTGCAGAGGGGTCAAATACTTATTTCCCTCATTAAAATGCAAATCAATTTATAACATTTTTGACATGCGTTTTTCTGGATTTTTTTGTTGTTATTCTGTCTCTCACTGTTCAAATAAACCTACCATTAAAATTATAGACTGATAATATCTGTGTCAGTGGGCAAACGTACAAAATCAGCAGGTGATCAAATACTTTTTTCCCTCACTGTACATCCGGTGAAACATCTGGCTGTATACATCTGAAGCATCCGGTATCTATCTCCTGCTGTTGAAATGCCTCAGCTCCACACCACCAGGTAGTAAGGGCAGAGTAGTGAGAGCGCAGTGACCTAATTAGCAGAGCGTCAGCTCCCCAGTCACGGGTCCATTCTGAAATAGGACATTCTCCCTACCAGTCCACTGACAAACCAGCATACAGCCAGCCACTTCCATGCACACGCTGCCTAGCTAGCTCTGCCCTCCAAAATAGTTCCACTGTGGTTACTACTGCAGTATGCAAACAACAATATTTTAAGGTTTGCAGTGAATGTTAGGATGAGCCTAATGATGACCTTTGACGTGTTTTGATTGTGATTATTTTTGGATTGGAGTGAGCCGCTAAACATTCACCAATGAAGGCCGAAGGGATCTGTATAACATACCACCGTCTAGCCAGTGGTGTCATGTCCATAGGGGGCACCAAAAGAAATTCTGACGTTAAATAAATTACTAAACTTTTTAAGCCCACGTTGTATCATCATTATTTATAAAAATATCTGTCAGCGGTATTTTGAGGAAGGGAGAAAGATGTTTCCAAATTCCCGAAAGGGGGACCATCCCCCCTCCATCCTCATGTACTTCGTGCCCACTCTAAAATAATGGGTGCATGACGCCCCTGCTTTTAGCCAAGGCAACATGCCAGAGAAGATTAACTGGACCACATTCTTGATGACTGAATATTTTTATTGACATCACATGTCAACATCAATCCTATAAGGGTGGTTGTAAATCCGAACCACGCTTTACGGTTCCCCCGTTTCAACATCCAGCTTATTGTTCCGGTCACGAACGTGAGCGGACCTTTAATCAAGGAGGGGTTATTGGACCCCGGGGGGTCCGCAAAGCAAATAACGTGTAATCACGCTGCTCAGCCGGGTGTTGTCAGCCCGATACTAAATGAGAAACCTGATGAAAAGTGCTTGTTGTTTTTTACCCCACTGTGATTCAAAAGCACCAGTGGGAGCATCAAACTTAGAGCAGGCATTCGCATTGATTTGATTTTAGATATGAAGTTAGGCATAGAAGGCCAACTTAGGACCGAGCTGAGCCCAACAAAGCTATAGCTAGATATAATATGATTATAAGTACTAAACCCATCATACAATAATCTCTAAGACAAGTCTGGGGCAAAGTAGTCTACACTGTTAAAAACAAACACTGACAGTTCTCTATCATCATGGGACTAATGCAGAGCTATTTTTCTGCTTCGGTGGTTAAAGCATAGGCCTCATATAAAAGGAATGCAATCATGCACTATCCTTCAAATAACTCATATTTCAGGATATGGTCATTTTCCCTTGTGGAGGGGCACAGAGGTCTTGGATCAGTGTGGGGGAATTCAAGTCGCCAGTCAGATGGGGTGCCACAGGGCAGCACTCCCCCCTTCAATTTCTCCAGCTGGTTCGTGCCAGTGTTGCACTGTACTCCCGCTCAGTTTCTCCACTGGCGCATAATAGTGCTATCGATATCCCTCCTCCGCTCCACTTCATCCCCAGCCAAAGAATAATGTTATCGCTGCACCTTGCAGCCAAGAGCCTGAGAGGTGTCAAAACCAATCAGAGCCTCTCTCACTGACGCCGCTCTGGGCAGACAGACTCCATGGCGACTGCTGGGAGGGCAAGAGTGATGGGGATGCGGTGCTGCAGAGGCTGAGCTTTGGATGCCTTCCCTGTGACTGTGAGGATGGCTTGAAGGGCATTAGATTGTCAGGGGTCACGGTTCTATCACATGCTTGAGTAAGGCCAGGGTTTCTTTTTTTTTTCTGACCACCTGGACCAAACCCCAGACCCTAGTTATAGCCTATTTCATGTGGTCAGGAAAAAAAACACAGAAAAACCTGGGTTGCTTGGTTAGAAACAAGCCAGATGACAACAATGCTTTCTTGGTGACAATTTGCTGCCAGTGTCGTGATTGATTCAACGCATTCAGTGCCAGTTTTGAGCATCGTTACTCACCATTTGAGGGAGGAGTTAAGCAGCCATAAAAACCACTTGGGGAGAGCGTTTCATTTGACACATTAGGAATTTATCAAACATTGGGGGTTATAATCATAAGTGTTGAGCACAGCGGTTAATATGCTCTCCCCCTACATGACTTTACTTCTGCTTATTAGCATTGAAGGAGCGGTGTACATTTTAACAAGCGGTATTAAATGATAATCACAGGGTCCTTTTCAGTCAGGTACTAATTAACTAACAGCCCATTGGCTCACGACATCACAGTGATGCTGGCTAGAACACTTATGCAGTAGGGACACGTGAGATGACGCAAGCAGGGTCGGTCTGTTCAGAGGGAGTCGTGCCACTGACTCTGCAGATAAGAGATGACGAGAGAAGCGTTTCTGGCTGGCTCCCCTCTCTGAGCAGAGCGCCCCGGAGCATACCTCATGTAACAATGACAGTGCTAAAAAGCTGCCTGTCTCAGATGATGAAACACTGAGCGAGAGACTGTCATTAGAGCTCGAGTCAGATGTTATCTTGCCCGGGGGGGGGGGGGAATAGAGAGAAGCCCCGTTGTCTTAACCACCCACACTGACGGAGCCTCGGAGCACGCATTTATGAAAAGGGGCTTTTGAAATCTGAGGCACATGATTACCCCGTTAAATAAACCCCTTTCAGACGCTACATCGTTCAGATGTAATGACACAGCGTATCCCTTCTGCTAGCTGGGTCTGTTTCAAAATTACAGCACAAAGTCAAGGATCTATGCATCTAGCTAACTTGTGATACTAGGCCTAATAATATAATAGGGTTAAGAAGATAATTATCTCTTAGGGGTTTGAAAAGCAATGACAATGAGGCCGGGAGTATACTACTACTAAATGCTGGCCCCTTTTTACATACTTAACCACAGGACCAGGCCTTCTTGCCACCCACTTTTAAAATCCTTGCTCTAGGGAGACTAAACCATCCTTTTTCTACCCAGTTAGAGGTCGCCCTTCCCTACCCATCCCTACCCAAATGAGTTTCTATGAACAGCCCATGTACACTACCGTTCAAAGGTTTGGGGTCACTTAGACCCCAAGCAACAGTGAAGAGGCGACGCCGAGATGCTGACCTTCTAGGCAGAGTTGCAAAGAAAAAGCCATATCTCAGACTGGCCAATAAAAAGAAAAGATTAAGATGGGCAGTCTGAGATATGGCTTTTTCGTTGCAACTCTGCCTAGAAGGTCAGCATCCCGGAGTCGCCTCTTCACTGTTGACGTTGAGACTGGTGTTTTGCGGGGTACTATTTAATGAAGCTGCCAGTTGAGTACCTGTGAGGCGCCTGTTTCTCAAACTAGACACACTAATGCATTTGTCCTCTTGCTCAGTTGTGCACCCGGGCCTCCCACTCCTCTTTCTATTCTGGATAGAGCCAGTTTGCGCTGTTCTGTGAAGGGAGTAGTACACAGCGTTGTACGAGATCTTCAGTTTCTTGGCAATTTCTCGCATGGAATAGCCTTCATTTCTCAGAACAAGAATAGACTGACGAGGTTCAGAAGAAAGTTATTGGTTTCTGGCCATTTTGAGCCTGTAATCGAACACACAATTGCTGATGTCCAGATACTCAACTAGTCTCAAGAAGGCCAGTTTTATTGCTTCTTTAAATCAGCACAACAGTTTTCAGCTGTGCTAACATAATTGCAAGGGGCTTTCTAATTATAAAATAGTCTTTTAAAATGATAAACTTGGATTAGCAAACACAACATGCCATTGGAACACAGGACTGATGGTTGCTGATAATGGGCCTCTGTATGCCTATGTAGATATTCCATTAAAAATCAGCCGTTTCCAGCTACAACAGCCATTTACAACATTAACAATGTCTACACTGTATTCTGATCAATTTTATGTTATTTTAAATGGACTAAAAAAATTGCTTTTCTTTCAAAAACAAGGACATTTCTAAGTGACCCCAAACCTTTGAACGGTAGTGTACATTAGATTAATCCCAGGGGGACGGAGATGAATGCCTCTAATTTCATGAACAGATTAAGATTATGCTCACTTAGCCTCCAAGGGGCCAGGCCTAAATGGGTTAACTAATTACGCCTATTAATTGTCCATGTGAATCCAAAGTCTTTAACCCCGAGAAATTGGGGGTTTCACATGCATGTTGTGATCGATTCATGGCAAGTCATTCAATCATGGCACTTTTCCCTTGTCATCATATTGGGGTAGTCAAATGGAGCCAAAGTCGTTTCTCTCAAGAATCTCAATAATAAACTAGCCTAGTTAGTCTCTTCCCACAGCTGGAAGAGACTACTACTACACTGTATGATCCCTGCAGTAGCTATAGCATTTTGCTACATTACCAAAACCAGCAACAGAATGACACTGCTGCCCTCGACGAGGCCTTGGTGAGGAGGGAAAAACATGTACAGTTGAAGTCTGAAGTTTACATACACCTTAGCCAAATACATTTAAAATCAGTTTTTCACAATTCCTGACATTTACTCCTAGTAAAAATTCCCTGTCTTAGGTCAGTTAGGATCACCATTTTATTAAGAATGTGAAATGTCAGAATAATAGTCAAGAGAATGATTTATTTCAGCTTTTATTTCTTTCATCACATCCCAGTGGGTCAGAAGTTTACATACACTCAATTAGTATTTGGTAGCATTGCTTTTAAATTGTTTAACTTGGGTCAAACATTTCAGGTAGCCTTCCACAAGCTTCCCACAATAAGTTGGGTGAATGTTGGCCCATTCCTCCTGACAGAGCTGGTGTAACTGAGTCAGGTTTGTAGGCCTCCTTGCTCGCACACGCTTTTCAGTACTGCCCACAAATTTTCTATAGGATTGAGGTCAGGGCTTTGTGATGGCCACTCCAATACCTTTACTTTGTTGTCCTTAAGCCATTTGGCCACAACTTTGGAAGTATGCTTGGGGCCATTGTCCATTTGGAAGAACCATTTGCGACCAAGCTTTAACTTCCTGACTGATGTCTTGAGATGTTGCTTCAATATATCCACATAATTTTCCTTCCTCATGATGCCATCTATTTTGTGAAGTGCACCAGTCCCTCCTGCAGCAAAGCACCCCCACAGCATGATGTTGCCACCCCCGTGCATCACAGTTGGGATGGTGTTCTTCGGCTTGCAAGCTTCCCCCCTTTTCCTCCAAACATAACGATGGTCATTATGGCCAAACAGTTATATTTTTGTTTCATCAGACCAGAGGACATTGCTCCAAAAAGTATGATCTTTGTCCCCATGTGCAGTTGCAAACCGTAGTCTGGCTTTTTAATGCCGGTTTTGGAGAAGAGGCTTCTTCCTTGCTGAGCGGCCTTTCAGATTATGTCAATATATGACTCATTTTACTCTGGATATAGATACTTTTGTACCTGTTTCCTCCAGCATCTTCACAAGGGCCTTTGCTGTTGTGCTGGGATTGATTTGCACTTTTCGCACCAAAGTACGTTAATCTCTAGGAGACAGAACATGTCTCCTTCCTGAACGGTATGACGGCTACGTGGTCCCATGGTGTTTATACTTGCGTACTATTGTTTGTACAGATGAACGTGGTACCTTCAGGCGTTTGGAAATTGTTCCCAAGGATGAACCAGACTTGTTGAGGTATACAAATTTTTTTCTGAGGCCTTGGCTGATTTCTTTTGATTTTCCCATGATGTCAAGCAAAGAGGCACTGAGTTTGAAGGTAGGCCTTGAAATACATCCACAGGTACACCTCCAATTGACTCAAATGATGTCAATTAGCCTATCAGAAGCTTCTAAAACCATGACATCATTTTCTGGAATTTACCAAGCTGTTTAAAGGCACAGTCAACTTAGTGCATGTAAACTTCTGACCCACTGGAATTGTGATACAGGGAATTATAAGTGAAATAATCTGTCTGTAAACAATTGTTGGAAAAATTACTTGTGTCATGCACAAAGTAGATGTCCTAACCGACTTGCCAAAACTATAGTTTGTTAACAAGAAATTTGTGGAGTGGTTCGAAAACGAGTTTTAATGACTCCAACCTAAGTGTATGTAAACTTCCGACTTCAACTGTACCTTAAAGGCAACACTGTGGCTGCCTGCTGCTGTACTGGCATGGCACCCCCTGCCCCCTTCCTAGAAAAAAAAAAACTCTTGACCCCCCCACCTTCTCAATCAGCTGTGCACTGAATCGAGACAGTGATAACTACGTGTCTGTGGGTGGCACAGCACAGAGGGCCGCTTTACCAGAGGCAGCAGAGTGGCGCTTCAGTTGAGGCCTCCGCTAACTACTCTCCATTTGCATTTTCCTTTCAATGGGGCTCTATTCTGCCTCGCCCGAGACAGAGGTTCGCCGTCTCTCCAGCCGACAGAGGTGAAAAAAAAAGTTAAACTAGACCCTAATTCCGGGAAGGCTGGGTGGCATGGCGGGCCCTCTCGTTATGGGGGGTGGTGGGGGTTCAAACCCCCCACTTGTCATTGTTATTCATTATTCACTGTGTATTTATTCCTCATGTTACTATTTATATGTTTTATTAAATGTTTTATCTTATATTAAACTTGTTGAAAAATTACCTGTACGTAAGCATTTCACTGTTATTCTACACTTGTTGTCTACGAAGCATGTGACAAATTAAATTAGATCTATATGGCTTCGGGGGAGAGAGACGATTTTAGAGAATAAGAGTTATGAGGGAAGTGGTGGGGTTCTCTCTCTCTCTCTCTCTGTGTGTGACTAGGGTCAGACACAAGCTACTCATTCACCCTCAGGAGAAAGGCGCTGTACAGGGTTCGCATAGCTGAAACCCACATTATGACATTATCACCAGCCTGACAGCTCGACAGCCAGGATCGATGGCCGTTTGCCATTTCAATCAAGGGAGAAGAATCTGGTGAGACATAGCGGAACGCCATGGGCTAGGCATTTCTCTGTACGTTACAGTTAATGTGCAAAACATTATTTCTTCATGCCTTTGCGTTTCCAGAGACATCCACCACAACTCCTGAGATGACTGCACCTCTGGAGAAGCTCTGACAACACAAAGTCCTCTCTCTTTATCCGTTTGTCCTTCTCCCCATGGACGAGGGGAGGGACTTTGCTCGCTGTGAGAACTGACACTAATTTCTCTGACAAGAAGCCGGCAATATCTGTAATCCCCTTACACCATATCAGAGGGGCTCTTGTGTCTCCACTGACCTGGCCGGGTGGCCTCTTCCCTTCCTCTTTCTTTCTCTCACCGTCACTCTCTCTGCGTCTCTCCCTCTCTTCATCTTTCTCTCTCCATCTCTCTCTGGGCATTAATGGCTGCTGACACGTCAGCCTTATTCCCAGTCAGGTGTGACATTTTAGCGAAACCTCGTGCAACGAGAACCCAACAGGATGGGCACTTACTGAACACGTTATGGCCCAGAAAACACAGGTCCTGACACCACTCTGGAAGAAAGCAGAACGGTTCTTGTTGCTGGATGCACACAGACAGGAGATCCCTTCATCCTCCTTAGGGGGAAGTAGTGTCCCTTTCTGGTGCCCTGTTCCACTCAGGCCCACTAGAACAGGTTCACTTTCCATGAATACTACTCAAGGTGCCATGACATCCGTAAGCAGTACTGGGCACCATAGCAGCAAATGGCTCTCATGTTGAGGCATTCAACTCCATGCACACAGGTCTTCTAAAAGGAAATAAGCACTAATGGAAATGCTGTACTTCCATACTGAAATTATATCCTATGGCTTTTAATCTTGACAGTTGAGAAGATGGACTATACCTATTAGCGTTTCCTTTAACTTAAAGACTTTCTTACACCATATAAATAGTAAAAAGTAGAATCGAAGAAAGAACAGTAGATATATCTGTAACAAACCTTGCCCATTTTGTATCGGCCTACATGTCTGGCGAGTCTCATCATAATGCTTAAACACAAATGAGAGCCACCTTTTAACAAAAATGTATTAGGGAATAAAGGACTTTGTTTTTGCTTTTTGTCTCACACACACACACGTCTCCCATTGCATTTACGCACTGCCTACTAGATTCCAGTGTTGTCTCGGCGGTAATTACATATGCCTTTGTTTCAACACCCGTAATCCTAGAGATGGGCGAGCGGTGCTGCCGCTGACACGCCTGAGATTACCACAGGAGTGTGGCAAAGAGCCTCCTAAGCCTCCTGGCTTTCCAGTGCAGAGGAGAGGAGCGCGAGAAAGAGAGAGTGAGTGCTACAGATAGGTGGGGATAATTCCCCCTCCTGTTCTCTCAGACGCAGACACACACACACACTGTGTCATCTGTGTAGGGACGCTACCCGGCAGGGGTCCCTCTATCACGGGCCCACACACAAACACACACTCTTCACACACTCCCAAAAACACACATTTCCATCTGGGGAGAGGGCGTTGTATGAAAGTGTGGCAGGCAGTACTGTGTGTGCATCATAATTAGAACACTAACTCATTCTAATTATTTGACTAACATCAAGGAGTGTATTCAGAGTGAGATGCTGCCTGGAACATTGAGCACGCACACAGTTTCTGTGAAAGACGAGGACAGAATACAGCTTAAAAATAGCAGGGTGGCTCTTCATACACAGATGAAGCTTGAGATACAGCAGAAATATACACACTCAATCTTTGACTAAAAGCAAGTCTAACTTCTGTGCTTGTTGAAAGAGGACTGTCTGACATTGTATTGTTGTGGATGAGTTATGAGGGAGCATCCAGACCTAAGAGCGAGTGCACGTTTTTTTTTGTGCATGTGTGTTAGAGTTCAATGTGTGTTCTGCTTGCCTGTCAACATGGAGAGAGATAGGATTTGTGTGTGACTGTGTGTGTGTGTGTGTGTGTGTGTGTGAGTTACATCATCAGCTTTGTGTGTGTGTGTCTTCACTGCTCTTACTGCAGGTGGCTCCCAGCCTTATGCTGTAGCCCAGTTGGCTGGGCTGGTAATCCAGTGAGCCCTGCCCTACTCCAGTTAATCTGATCATCTGTGACCTGCTGAGACATGAAACCCACCCTGTTGAGCTGCACTAATCTAGCGTTAAATACACACAGGCACGCACACACCCACAGGCATGCACACACGTACCATCCCCATCTCTGTGTTGACAGGCCAAGGTAAAGGACTGAGGCAATACTCCTTACAACTAAGCCTAACTGTCATGAGCACTGAGTCCATTTCAGACACAGTTGTAGATTTGCCTATTCGTCACTGACACCTAGGAGGAAAAGGATTGTAGAATAAGTACACTAAAAATTAGGGGTTCAACAAGGGTTCTTCTAAGATCCTCAAAGTTCTTCGAAGAACCTTAGGGTTCTTGGCACTGAAAATTGCCCCCAAAAGGTTCTTCCAAGAACCCCATAGCAGGTGGGGTTCATCGATTAACCTCATTAGTTGGTGGGGGTTCTTGCAGGAACCTAACTGTCCAACTGAAACATTTGAATTTGAAAGGATAGCAGGTGCAGGCACTTAACTGAAAAATTTTAAGATCTCCTAAATTTAAAGTAAGGTTTGTCCCTTGTTTGATCTAAATTGATATTGTTTTATGATGATACCATCTATCTTTTCATATTTGTGCAAATCTTTCTGAAACAGAAAATGGATACAGTTCAATGGATATCAATCAACAAAGAGTTAAGAATCTGTATGCTATAAGAATATGTTGAAGGCTAGCTGCATTGGGTGCAGATTACTGAACTGCTCACTTTTGTGTCTGTAGGTTTACAGACGAGGAGGCATACAAAGGTACGTCAATTGGTATTGGTATGTTATGCAGATCACATGTACCATCCTCCTCCCTTACCTCTTCAATTAAAATCCCATAGGCCTCTACATTATGGACAAGGTATGTGTATGAAAACCATTATCAAAATAGTTTTTTTCATTCACATTTACCACAAAAACCAAGGTATGACTACTGTCGTGTGCATGTTTTGTTAATCATCTGTATAATAACTATTTTTTGGATTCACAGACCCTACCTACACCTCTGATGAATATAAAAGGAAACCATGCACTGCAAAATCATTCTGGCTATGGATACGGAGAACATCAACACATAAACATCAACATGCCAGAGGATATTCCCATTGGATTTGGGGCTCTGCTGGGAGTTTACCTTATATTTAGATTTTTTTATTCTGCTTTGCCACTAAAATCATAATAAACACTGACAAATAAAATATTGTTTTATTGTTGGTATTGTTAAGAGTATTAATAATAATAATAATAATAATAATAATAATAATAATAATAATAGGGGAGGGGGGAGAGTAGTTCAAAAATTTAACCCCAAAAGGTTCTTCAAAAGGTTCTTCGAGGATCCATTAAAAGGGGTTCTTTGAAGAACTTATAGGGGTTCCCCCACAGTTTCAATTTGAAGAACCCCTAAAGGATCCTCCAGGAACCTTTACTTTTTAGAGTGTACTGGCCAACGTCAAGCAGCAATTAGAGAGAAATAGCCATCTCAAGAGTCTATGGTGTTGCCATTAGTCTAATTAAGAAAATGAACAACAATTGCTAGCCTATCTATTTACAGTGCCTTCAGAAAGTATTCACACCCCTTGACTAATTCCATATTTTTTTCTCAAACATCTACACACAATACCCATAATGACACAGTGAAAAAAAAAAAGTGTTTACATTTTTGCAAATGAAATACAGAAATATCTCATTTACATAAGCATTCAACCCCCTGAGTCAATACATGTTAGAATCACCTTTGTCAGCAATTACAGCTGTGAGTCTTTCTGGATAAATCTCTAACCTGGATTATACAATATTTGCGCATTCTTTTTTAAATTCTTCAATCTCTGTCAACTTGGTTGTTGATCATTGCTAGACAGCCATTTTCAAGTCTTGCCATAGAATTTCAAGCAGATTTAAGTCAAAACTTTAACTAGGCCACTCAGGAACATTCAATGTCGTCTTGGTAAGCAACTTCCAGTGTAGATTTGGCCCTTGTGTTTTAGGTTATTGTCCTGCTGAAAGGTGAATTTATCTCCCAGTGTCTGTTGGAAGCAGACAACCAGGACTTCGCCGGTGCATACCACTATTACATTTTTTTTAATTTATTTTTTAAAAACTCCCTAGTTCCTTGCCAATGACAAGCATACCCATAACATGATGCAGTCACCACCATGCTTGAAAATATGAAGAGTTGTACTCAGTGATGTGTTGTGTTGGATTTGCCCCAAACATAACTCTTTGTATTCAGGACAAAGTTAATTTCTTTGCCACATTTTTTGCAGTTTTACTTCAGTGCCTTATTGCAAACTCAACGCATGTTTTGGAATATTTGTATTCTGTACAGGCTTCCTTCTTTTCACGCTGTCATTTAGGTTAGTATTGTGGAGTAACTACAATGTTGTTTATCCATCCTCAGTTTTCTCCTATCACAGCCATTAAACTCTAACTGTTTTAAAGTCACCATTGGCCTCATGGTGAAATCCCTGAGCGGTTTCCTTCCTCTCCGGCAACTGAGTTAGGAAGGATGCCTGTATCTTTGTAGTGACTGGGTGTATAGATACACCATCCAAAGTGTAATTAATGACTCTAAAGTGATATTCTATGTCTGCTTTATTTTTAATTTTTTTACCCATCTACCAATAAGTGACCTTCTTTGCGAGGCATCGGAAAACCTCCCTGGTCTTTGTGGTTGAATTTGAGTTTGAAATTCACTGCCTGACTGAGGGACCTTACAGATAATTGTATGTGTGGGGTACAGAGATGAGGTAGTTATCCAAAAAGCATGTTGAACACTATTATTGCACATAGTGTGAGTCCATGGAACTTATTATGTGACTTGTTAAGCAAATGTTTTCTCCTGAACTTATTTAGGTTTGCCATAACAAGGGGTTGAATACTTATTGACGCAAGACATTTCAGCTTTACATTTTTTATTAATTCCACTTTCACATTATGGGGAACTGTGTGTAGGCTAGTGAGACAAAATCTAAATTTAATCAATTTTAAATTCAGGCTGTAACACAACAAATTGTGGAAAAAGTCAAGTGGTATGAATACTTTCTGAAGGCACTGTAACTCTCACATGTTAGATGCCTTTAATCAAGACTCTAGAATTTCAATTGATAGTCTAAAAAACATCAGTCACACCAGGGAGCCTCTGCAGGTACTCCTCACACTCAAACCATAAAAACCACAAACTTTGCACTTATTTTTATTCATTTCAACAAGGAATTCATTCAATTGCGTTGTTTTTTTTGTTTTTTCTCTGCCTCCTTGATTTTACCTTTTTATGTTTTGAGTACATGCTTAATTCTATAGCCAAGTAATTTTT